ACTCAAACTCATGTCCATTGAGTCAGTGATGCCATCCAACCATCTCATCCTCTGTCATCCCCTTCTCCTCCTGCCTTCAATCTTTCCCAACATCAGGGTCTTTTCAAATGAGTCAGCTCTTCGCATCAGGTGGCCAAAGTATTGGAGTTTCAGCTTCAACATCAGTCCTTCCAATGAATACCCAGGACTCATCTCCTTTAGGAGGCAGGTCAGGTGGTCTGGTATTCCCATGTCTCAGAATTTTCCAGTTTATTGTAATCCTCACAGTCAATGGCTTTGGCATAGTCAATAAAGCAGAAATAGATGTTTTTCTGGAATTCTCTTGCTTTTCTGATGATCCAGTGGATGTTGGCAATTTGATCTGGTTCTTCTGCCTTTTCTAAAACCAGCTTGAACATATGGAAGTTCACGGTTCACAGTTCTTTTCAGTTTAACCTTTAATTTAAATATAGATGTGAACAGTTCAAGTAATCGAAACTCCTGTATAGTGTTTGTACATTTTTCCTATGAAAAATCATCACACCCAAATGTTATGACAGGAAGGGCACTAAAACCATCAAGTTGGCTGAGAAGAAATAGAATGTTCAATGGCATACCATTATTAGAAGGCAGCCTTCTCTCTGATTACTCAAACCTACCAGTACCTTTTCTGGTACACTTTTACTTAGACTGATAATTTTTCCTCTCCAGGGAAACAGAACAGGATTTATAAAAATAGTTCTGTGTATTTCCTAAAGTTTGTGTAAAATTTATAATGTTGAAATTCAATTGTGAGGGGGAAGTATTTCTGGTGTAGTGGAGTAAAAACATTCAAAAATACACATCTCTATAATAGCAAAAATAACTTTGGCAAAAATTATCAAATTCAACTTTTTCAGAACTCTATTTACGGTAAAGAAACTGCCTGCAATGTGGGAGGCCTGGGTTCAATCCCTGGGTTAGGAAGATCTCTGGGAGGAGTTCATGGCAATTCACTCCAGTATTCTTGCCTGGAGAATTCCAACCACAGAGGAGCCTGGCAGGCTACAGTCCATGGGGTCACAAAGAGTCAGACAGGACTGAGTGAATAAGTACAGAAATTAACCAAAGGTTTGCAAGAATTCAAGGAGTGTTCATTCAAAAAAAGTGGATAAATCTTGGTGAGAACAGCAAGCTTTGTGGCATTTTAACTTGCCCAGCTCCCATACCTCTTTTCTCGGCTCTGTAATAGCAGGATCTAACTACAGTTAAGATCCTAGCCTAGGCTTGGAGTTATAATACTCAGAAATATGGTAAAATAAAAATAGCCTGGCTGGCTATAGTCCCATAGGGTTGCAAATAAACCTAGTTATACATCAGGTTTACTACTCTAGGTGTTGAAGTTACATAGACTAAAATTACATGTATTCTGACCTCAGGAAATTTTTACATTTTAATAAAGACAACAAATCTATAAACAGACAGTTAAAGCACAAATATAAGAAAAATGCCCTACTAGAAGTTCATATGGTATGTAATAAGAACCACTCAAATCAGCCTGATGAATCAGAAAAATGCCTGATGCATGTAGGTGTTCATTAAATATTATATGTGAATTGCTGGATAAGGAGAATTGCTGCATTTACTTCTGAAGAAGTTTTAGAGCAGAATTTCCCAGGAAAGTGGCAATGGAATGGCAAAGAGGTACAGAGATACACTAGGTTTAGGACGTATCACCAGTTCAGTGCGCCTAGAGGGTGGGATGGGAATTGAGGTAGGAGATGAGACTGAAAGTTGGAGGGATAACTGGTAATTAAAGATAGAAGCAGGAACTACAGGGACTTCTTTGTTAAGCTTCCTTTGGACCCTCAAGGCCAACTTGGATAAGCACAGAATTCTGTGGGAGGCAGCAAAGCCCAGAAGGACCCGAAGGCGTATTTGACATCCTCTTAGTTGGCTCTACAAGGACAGTTCTGATATAGTCTGATAGGATCATGGCTTTATTTTATTTTTAGGGCATATAAATAGTCTTACTCCATTTGTGTGTGTGTGTCTTTCTGTTTTTATGTCTATCTCCTGGTACAGGTAAAAATACTGTTAAGGGAGTAAGTTGTCACATTTCACTCATAAAAGTGGCCAAGTCTTTTAAAGCTCTAGTAAATCATAATGATGAGGGTAGGGGAACAGATAATTTCATATGCTACTAAAGCATATGCACACTACGACAACTTTCCTAGAGAGAAACTGGGTAACATTTACTTAATTCTTTGTGCTCCCACAATTACACTTCATCCAGGGGGAGATAAAGTTTATCATAGAGTTACTATGTCAAAAAACAGGAAGCAACTCAGTTTCACTAGTCATTATACTGGGAAAGACATTTATCTCTCTGTGGTTGTTTTCTCATGTATAAAATAGCTTATAATAATAGTACCAACTTCAAAGGATTATTGTGATTATTAAATCAGTTAAGACATAGAAATTAATTAGAATAATTTCCTGTATGCTATTATGTATTAAAACAAGAAGTATTCATGAAAACACCACCAATGTTTATACACATATGTATTCACATATATATATAATTATTTTTTTAAAAGATTATGAATTACTTTTATAAACAGAAAAATGTCAGTAATAAAAATGATCATAATCCACTGTAATAAAGATCAGTTCATTTACAAAACGAAACTAAAGTTTTCTCTATTTCAAATTAGAAGTGGTCTTCTTTTATTATGGATTGTTATATAAATATTAGATAAAAATAAGACAAAAGTATAAAAGAAATGCAAAAATAAATCTGACTTAAAGCTTCATTCTTTTAAAATACTGTATGTCAAGTTATCTTTACTTGAGTTAAGGATTCCTTCCTTGCTTTAGCTATCAATAGATGACTTTCATTGTATTTTTTATGAAACAAGAGTGACATCCAGAGGCCAAGTCAACAGCAACTATATATAATAAACAGCTTCTTGATTATTATTTAGCTCAAAAACCACACTGGATCTCATTAAGATTGCATGCAGGACTCCAAGAAGATGAACAAATGCAACCACTTGAGTTTAATGTATAACTTCAAAATGTCATTCAGTTAAGCTTAGATATGTATATGTGTATGTATCTATTTTAATCTAATTGTTACATATATTATTTGAAATTTAAAGCAATAATACTTTGACTTTATATGTCCAAGGTTGACCCTAAAATAAATTTAACAATAATTAATCAGAGAAAGGCAGAAGAAAAAGCTGTATGTTAATAAAACAGTAAGAACATCATACCTTCTATCAAAATTAGACAGTCATTTGAAAGTGGAAGTATACCATTATTTTTCACAAAATGAATAGCTACTTTTCGTTCTCCTTGATCTTTAGTGGTCCAGACCTTCGAATTATATAAGGATGTATTTTGTAGCTTTGTATCTGGGGTTGTGCTTGCACCCTCTTGGAAAATCTTATCCAAATCAATCTCATTTGGCACTTCTTGCCTAAAATCATCAACAATGGAATAACACACAAAAAAAACTGGTATAAGCTTAGAAAGTCAAATTTAACAAATTATCCAATTAAAAGAACGTTTATATGCTTATGAACCATCTACTTATTTTAAAATATTGAGATAATTCACTCTGCAGATTAAAGGACTCATTCAATAGAAAGATATTTGATGACATTTCATGGCTAATTAGATCCATATCATAATTACATTAACAACCACCAATTTCCTTGCCTGGCTCTGTGATACCAAGATTATGTATAATTATTTCTTCACCAAACTGTTCTCCTCTGTAAGGAATGCTAAACCTCCCAGTAGGAACCCCATCTTCACTCCAGCTAAATATTCATTACCATTTAAGTAACTTCACTTTCATAGAGTACCTATTTTATAGACCAGTATTGGATTCCTTTTAATCTAGAATATAATTTTTTAATATCATATGGCAAAATATGATACAGTAGAAACTGCATAATCTGGAATCAAAAGGTCTATTTCCTTTCCTGGTTCTGTCACCAATCAAGTGTGTAACTTTAGGTAAAATCTCTTAACCTTACTAAATGTTCTGCTTTTTGGTGTTGTTTTTAATATTTATCTAATTTTACAGCTATGAGTGGTCTTTGTTGCTGCACATGGGCTCTAGTAGTGGGGGCTACTCTTTGTTGGAGTGCATGGGCTTCTTAGGAGATTCCCTCGTGGCTCCCCTGGTAAAGAATCTGCCTGCAATGCGGGAGACTTGGGTTTGGTCCCTGAGTTAGGAAGATCCCCTGGAGAAGGGAAGGGCTACCCACTCCAGTAATCTGGCCTGCAGAATTCCAGGGGTCGCAAAGAGTTGACACAACTGAGCAACTTTCACTTCACTATGGGCCTCTCACTGCGGTGGCTTCTCTTGCCGAGGAACACGGCCTCCAAGGTGCACAGGTTCAGGAGTTGGACATGGGCTCAGTAGTTGGGGCTTGTGGGCCCTAGAGTATAGGTTCAGCAGCTGTGGTACACAGGCCTAGCTGCCCTCAGGCATGCGGCTACCTCCCGGACCAGGGATTGAACCAGTGTCCCTTGCAATACAAGGCAGATTCTTAACCACTGGACTACCAGGAAAGCCCCAAACCTCTTAACTTTTCTGAAATGTTTTCCTCATTTGTTTAAAAAAGGATCATATAGGGTGGCTTTGTTTGGTAAACTTATATAATTTTACAGAATTTTACCAACTATAATTTGATAATACTTAAAGATCTAAAATCTGTACTTACACTCTATTATTTCAAGCCCAGATAGATAGAAAACAATCCCTTGTTTTGCAGAAGGAGATCTGATGATTAAAAATCTCCACAAACAGTACTATACTTACATTTCAGAGGGGAAACCATATGTATATTAGTGTATAGAGCACACCCACAAACAACATGTCCAAAAGACGATGCACATACATGTATTTGTTACATACACAGAGGGAAGAGAGTCAGATTGCATAAATAGAGAAAGAGGGATTAAAAATAATTTTCAGAATATGTCTTGAGCCAATAATAAGTACATATATATTCTAATGTCCTATATATTTATTTACTCATTTATATAAAAATTGATGCTTAGAGTAAAGATTTTCAGAAACTGAGAAATCCTCAATTACTAACAAAAGTTTAAATTATGTTCACTGTATTGTAGTTATTAAGCAGGACAGGAGTATTTCCAACAAGGTTTTCTCTAACAATTAAGAATTTAAACTAACCAGAAATCTTATTGATTTAAGAATTTTACTTAATAATGGTTTACTTTCAAGATTTTTTGTTACAAATGAGAAAGTCTGTTCAAATATTTTCATAGTCTGTTACTTGTTTGCATGTATCAGAGCTACTAAATTGAATTTCAGATCTAAAAATAGCACCTACTTTTTTCTTTTACTATTATGAAGAAATATCAAAAGGATTTATCTTTAAGGAATTAGTGTTTTCTCTTAAAAAGATTACAATTGTTTCAAAATACAATAGATTTAAACCATAACTGATTCACTTCCAGTATTTAAACTTATACATAAGAAAATATATATACACAAATTTTATGAAATGAAAACTTTGGTTTTATTACAGAAAATACTTACAGTAAGTGACACTTAGGACAATAAAGTTTGACAGACTGAAAGAGTCTTTTGGGCTTATATGATCTCAGTTTTGCTCGGATACGATATTGTTGAGGAGCGTTTTGCTTCAAAATAGCACACAGTGGGGTTTTCTCCAAATATTGATGACCTGTAAGTACTACAAAGAATTTTTGGATTAAGTTAGATAAATCTATAAGAATATTAATGTATTCATGACAAGAATCTCCATGAAAAAATATACAATCAAATCTAATTAAGTTGTATTAACCTTGGTTACATTTTGCCACATCATCTCTGTCATTTTCTCAGTCTCTCCATATATATATATAAATCTTACAGATACATGATTCACATATGCATATTTCACATATATATATATATATATATGAATTATTTGATAGTAATTTCCAAACATTATACCCCTTTATCCCTAACTACTTTCAGTGTATATTTTACAAGAACAAGGAATTTCATTAACATATTATAATGCAATTTTCAACATCAAAACACTTACCAATGATTATTACTGAATCAACAGACGTTCAAATTTCTCCAACTAGCCCCATAACACTCCTATTTAGCATTTTATTTTCAGGTCCAGGATCTAATCCTGAACAACGCATTGTATTTATTTCTTCTGTCCCTTTGGAGTCCCTCAGTGTAGAATAGTTCCTAAGCTTTTCTTTGTCTTTCAAGACATTGATATACTGAGAATTTGAGGCTGTTTATTTGGGTGTGTCTGGTTTTTATCATGATCAGATATCAGTTATGCATTTTTGGTAGGAATACTACCATATAAGTGATACTGTGGCCCTCTCAGAGCATATGAAGAGGCACATGTATCAGTATTTTCATCCCTGGGGATATGAACTTTGCTCAGCTCATTAAGGTGGTGTTCAGTAGGTTTCTCCACTATAACCTTATTATTTCCCCCTCCATAATTAATAAGAAAGCATTTGATAAAATATAAATATCCCAATTTCATCAAATGTTTAGAATCCTGCTAGCTTAGGATCCACCAATGACAGGCAACTGGCAATTTTCTTAATAAATTATCACTATCATGATTAAAAATGGTGAGTTTGTGTCCTAACTTGATTATTTCTTTTATATTTATCAGCTGCCATTCTACTTAAAATAACAGTTTTCTATTCAACCTCATTTATTTGTTTTCTTCTTTATTTACTCTCCATATGGACTACTAGATTCCTACTTTACTCAAGCAGTACTATCCCATCACTAGTAATTTTAATTTTGACACTTAAATTGCACCAGATTTGACAACTGTCACCATTAACCTGGTGGACTTCTCTACTTTATGGCACAATAAGATGTTCCAGAATCATCTTACAATTCTGCTTCCCAATTCTGGAATATGCTATTTCTCCAAGAAGCCCTGATTGGGGATATTATTTATAAATTAAGATCTGAATACTAGGTGTGCTTATTGCTACTGGGTGTTATTGTTTCCATTAGAGCTGGGGCACATATGCATGTATGTTTACACCTATACTTACACATATGAGCCTGCATGTGTATGAATATATACATGAGCAAATACATAATATACAAACAAATATATCTATTTATCTGTCTCTAATACCATGAGTGCATACTAACACCTCCAATTCTAATATAATACCATAAGCTTCTTTCTACTAGCCCTCTGCCATTTCATAGTTATACATCCTTTCTCCAGTCATGAAAAACTCATGTTTTTATAATAGTATATTATAGAATTTTACTTAATACATTATGTGGAGAAATATTTTCTTAATTGTTCTATTTCACCTTAGCTGAAGTAACAGACTACCACACAATTGCACTCATCTCACACGCTAGTAAAGTAATGTTCAAAAGTCTCCAAGCCAGGCTTCAGCAATACGTGAACCATACACTTCAGATGTTCAAGCTGGTTTTAAAAAGGCAGAGGAACCAGAGATCAAATTGCCAACATCCGCTGGATCATCGAAAAAGCAAGAGAGTTCCAGAAAAACATCTATTTCTGCTTTATTGGTTGTGACAAAGCCTTTGACTGTGTGGATCACAATAAACTGTGGAAAATTCTGAAAGAGATGGGAATACCAGACCACCTGATCAGCCTCTGGAGAAACCTGTATGCAGGTCAGGAAGCAACAGTTACAACTGGACATGGAAAAACAGACTGGTTCCAAATAGGAAAAGGAGTACGTCAAGGCTGTATATTGTCACCTGCTTATTTAACTTATATGCAGAGTGCATCATGAGAAATGCTGGGCTGGATGAAGCACAAGCTGGAATCAAGATGGCCAGGAGAAACATCAATAACCTCAGATATGCAGATGACACCACCCTTATGACAGAAAGTGAAGAGGAACTAAAGAGATTCTTGATGAAAGTGAAAGAGGAGAGTGAAAAAGCTGGCTTAAAGCTCAACATTCAGAAAACTAAGATCATGGCATCTGGTCCCATCACTTCATGGNCCCAATATTCTTGCCTGGAGAATCCCCATGGATAGAGGAGCCTGGCAGGCCCCAGTCCACAGGGTCGCAAAGAGTCGGCCACGACTGAAGCAACTTAGCATGCACACATACCACCATACATAGTTACAAAATTTTTCTCTTGTAATGAGAGCTTTTAAGGTCTACAGCCATGAAAGTGAAAGTTGCTCAGTTGTGTCCGACTCTTTGATACACCACGGATGGAATTCTCCAGGCCAGAATACTGGAGTGGGTAGCTGTTCCCTTCTCCAGGGGATCTTCCCAACCCAGGGATCGAACCCAGGTCTCCCACATTGCAGACAGATTCTTTACCATCTAAGCCACAAGGGAAGCCCAATGATGAGTTCCTTATTAAATTTAAAGACAGACTTCATTATGCTTATTATTGTGTCTCAATTTCAAAGATGAAAATGGTCTTACTGGTAGCTGAGAGTTGTTGACATCTTTCGACTTCATATAGTGATACTGATCCAGAGCCTATTAGGAAAAAGGAGAGAATTATATTTGAAAATCCATTAAAAGCTCAATGTGGCAATGAAAACTATAAAACATTACTGAGAGAAACTGAAGAAAATTTAAGTCAATGGAGAAATTTGTTTATGGATTCATGTCATTTGTTCATGGAATGGAAAGTTCAATATTGTAAATAACTGATATTCTTCCCAATTGATCTGTAGTTTCAATGAAATCTTAATCAAAACTGCATAGGGTTTATTATAGAAAGAGACAAGTAGATTCCATCACTTAAGTGAAAATGGCAAGGAATTTAAAATCTAAATATTCTAAATTTCTTGTTTAGAATCCTAAACAAATACTGAACTGTAGATAATGATATTCATTCACTGAAGTGTTCAGGAGGTGTACTTACGTCTGCAAATTACTTTGAAATGTATCAAAAACTAAAACAAACTGATGGATTAAAAAAGAGATAAAAGATACAGCAAAGAGAGTAAAATGTTAACTGGAGAAACATGGTGGGAATACAAATGTTGACTGAACAACTGTTTCAACTTTTCTATATGTTTGAAAGTTTTTCTTATGTTGAAATAGTACACTGTGATGGAAATAAGGGATAAGTAGATAAAATAATATATTTACTAAATTTAATAGGATGACTTGAGGAATGCCATAAAATGTAATTTTACTTAAACAAAACAGCAAAAATAGTGACCACAGCAATACATTTTAATGATGCTTTCTAAAATGAAGAATTGAAGACTTAAAAAAAGTATTCAAATTTTGCACTCATATTAGCTTACCACATTCTATTACATATAATAGTATATTTTTATAATTTATTATACGAAACATCATATACAAATATATGGATTATTTGTTCTTCTTCAAAATCGCTATTAAATGGCACAAGGACCCATGGTAAGGGAACCTGCATGGACACATTAAGCTGGAAAACTATTATTTCAAAGAATCTGATTACTTAATACCTGCTATTCTGCATGAAGTGAAACAATGTAAAAGCCTGATTAGTAAATAAATAATAAGAAAATAAGAGAAAAGATGTGCAAAATTGTATTAAAACTGTCTTCCACAGACTGATAAGAATAAAGATAAAGAGCCCAACAGAAAATCAGGTAAAGAGTAAGAGCAGACAATTCAAAGAAGTAAGAAGGGTCGATAAATATAAGATTTTTTAAGTTTACAAGTACTCAGGGAAACTAAATATACCTAACACCTGCCAAACTGAAAACAGCACACATATTGTTAAAGCAATACCACTGGCAGTTTGAGGGAGGACATGCTCCCACACTGTTATTTGCATTTGAATTCTATGACATTCTGGCATATAATCTGGTGTCATCTATGAAAATAACATGCGTTTACTCTTTGATCCTTCAACCCCACCTTTACGAATTTTAGAGAAAAAATAAGCTTGAATGTACAACTGTTCAAGGATGTTTATTAAAGCATTATTTGTAAGAGTAAGAAACTGAAAACAACCGTCTATCAAATAGAAAATGGCTGAATTCATTATATTAGATTAATGTAAAATATAATGCAGCTATTAAAAGAATGAGTTTGAGTTATATGAATTAGTCCAGAAAGAGGTCTATAATCTATCATTAAAGAAAACAATCAGCATACTAAGGTCTCACTTTTGTGAAAATTTTAAACAGAGGAAGAAGATATACATGTTCATATAGAAGTATGTATATTTTTATAAACATGAATGGTTTGAAGAATTCATAGTCAACTGTTATCTTTCCCTCAGCAAGTGGGAATAAAGGCATGGGAAAGCTATGTAACTTGATACTGTCATATGTACTACTTCTGTAATTTGAAAATAATCAGAAAAACATTTTAGGAGGAAAGAGATTTCAAAAAGTATAATTATAAATCACATTGGCTCTAAATGATTGTCAACTGAAGTAAATTGGCCTCATAATGGGTAGTTCAAGTAGTCACACATTAGGCTAAAATGCTGTCATCAAGGTGCTAGGAAATATGAAGAATTTTAAAGCACATAAAATGAAGAAATAAACATGGACAAAACAACCAAATCGCCAGAATCTGAATGGCACTGACTTTGCCATCAGTTAATAGTAAGGGAGGTTGGGCAAACTATATGATTCCCATTACTCAAAGCCTCAATTTCCTTTCTGCAAAAGGGAAGAATAGCAACCTCACAGGAGTGAGGTTAGGATTAAATAATGACTGTTAGCACTTATTTAGTGCCTATCAAGTCACAGATGTTAATTTTCATGCTTATTATTACTGATATAGATAGAAAGAGCATAAATATTCATTAAACAGATCACAGTAGGGAAGAAGTTAGATTGTAGGAAAAAAAAACCAATCATATGGGATAGAAACATGACATAGATTTTGAAGCTCAGAATGTACAAGCAAATACTGAGACAAAATGGTAAAGGAAAAATTATTACAGATTTAGCAAATTTTTAAAATTTATATTTGAATAGCCATCTATTCAAGCAGATAATAATATAAATATTCCACCAATTATCTGTTAATATTTTATAATTAGGTACTTGATTAATTCAATACAACTGGGAACTCTTAAGATATGCATGATCAAAAAATACTTGGGCTATTGGAAGTAAAGCAGCAAAAATAACCTTTGTCCCTTTGAGAAACTAACAAGCAAACAGTTGACTGGGAAATGAATACAGATTTTTAATAAGTTATATATATTTTTGTTGTTATTGTTGTTTACACACTAAAGCTGTGTAGGACTCTTTGCCACCTCACGGGCTATAGCTCATCAGGCTCCTCAGCTCAGTTCAGTCGCTCAGTCGTGTTAGACTCTTTGTGACCGCATGGACTGCAGCACACCAGGCTTCCCTGTCCATCACCAGCTCCTAGAGCTTGCTCAAACTCATGTTCACTGAGTCAGTGATGCCATCAAACCACCTCATCTTGTCATCCCCTTCTTCTCCTGCCTTCAATTTTTCCCATCACCAGGGTCTTTTCCAGTGAGTCAGTTCTTTACATCAGGTGGCCAAAGTATTGGAGCTTCAGCTTCAACATCAGTCCTCCAATGAATATTCAGGACTGATTTCCTTTAGGATCTATTGGTTTGATCTCCGTGCTGTCCAAGGGACTCTCAGGAATTTCTCCACCACCACAAAGTAATTTCTCTGCTTTTTAATATGCTGTCTAGGTCGGTCTCCCTTCATGGCATCTGGTCCCATCACTTTACGGCAAATAGATGGGTAAACAGTGGAAACAATGACAGACTTTATTTTCTGGGGCTCCAAAATCACTGCAGATGGTGACTGCAGTCATGAAATTAAAAGACACTTTCTCCTTGGAAGAAAAGCTATGACCAACCTGGACAGCATATTAAAAAGAGAGACATTACTTTGCCAACAAACATTCGTCTAGTCAAAGCTATGGTTTTTCCAGTAGTCATGTATGGATGANTTCTGCCATAAGGGTGGTGTCATCTGCATATCTGAGGTTATTGATTTTCTCCCGGCAATCTTGATTCTAGCTTGTGCTTCATTCAGCCTGGCATTTCGCATGATGTACTCTGCATATAAGTTAAATAAGCAGGGTGACAATATACAGCCTTGAAGTACTCCTTTCCCAATTTGGAACCATTCTGCTTTTCCGTGTCCAGTTCTAACTGTTGCTTCTTGACAGGCATACAGATTTCTCAGGAGGCAGGTCAGGTGGTCTGGAATTCCCATCTCTTTAAGAATTTGTTTAGGAAGCATCACTACAAAAAAAGCTAGTGGATGTGATGGAATTCCAGCTGAGCTATTTCAAATCCTAAAAGATGATGCTATTAAAATACTACACTCAATATGCCAGCAAATCTGGAAAACTCAGCAGTGGACACAGGACTGGAAAATGTCAGTTTTCATTCCAATCCCAACAGGTTCCTCTGTCCATGGGATATTTTCAGGCAACAATACTGGAGTGGGTTGCCATTTCCTTCTCCAGGGGATCTTCCTGACCCGAGAATCAAACCCATGTCTCCTGCATTTCCTGTATTGGAAGGTGGATTCTTTACCACTGAGTCACCTACAAAGCCCAATAGGTATATATATACACACACATAAATGTATATACATAAATACTAATATAACCCAAATCAAGTAATCCTTACCATTCCAATTTGAAAATGTAACTACATAATTAAGGGAGGAATTATGTTTATCTTTGTATTAGGACACGTAAAGGTTTAGCATGTCTCTTTATAATGAATATCAATTTAACAAGTAAAAAAGGAGATTGGAAGGTATTAAAAAAGATAATTTATGTTGATGTAGTAATTTTACTTAACAGAAACTAAACTGGCAGCATCAAAAATCACCCTTAGTTCTTAGGGGTATGGAATTAACAGATATACACCACTATATATAAAAACTGGTAAATAACCAGAATTTACTGTAGAGCACATGGAACTATATTCAATATCTTGTTAATAACCTATAATGTAAAAGAATCTAAAGCTGTACACCCGAAACTAACACAATATTATAAGTCAACTACAGTTAGGTAATTTATTAAAAAACTGTCCTTACTTGAAATGTTTGAAAAGCTGTCCTCTTGCTCTGATTGACATACACCAACAAAACTCTGGTTGGGGGGCAAATGTGCAGATTCTAAAATCCTATAATTGAAAGAATACAACTTTTAATTGCATAAAGCACAATCAAACAATGGTCAGTTTACCCTTAGAAAGCAAGAGCTTAGTGAAATTACGTGAAAATTCTGTGTGCGTTTGTGTGTGTGTACGCATTCTGCAGTAGGTCTATAGCTTTCATCAGATTATCAGGGGATTCCAAGAGACTCTAAAATGTAAAACACCCAAGTCTAGAAAGATACAAGTGAAATAGTGGGATCATGAAATACTGCAAACGAGCTGGGTATATAACGCATGTCATTCTAAGTCAGAACAATCTCACTCTAGACTCAAGCAATGAAATACTATATGGCTATATACTGCAATCTAAGAAATAAAGTAGGAAAACTGATATAAGGTTATTAAAATAGCTAATTTCATTGATGTTAAAGTCATCTTGATTTCAATATGTTAAAACTTAGAAAACAGTTTTGTCACTTCAATTTACTGAACAGGATATCTTCTATATCTCTTTGAAAATATGCAGAAGACTTTTTATTTCCGCAGAGTATAGATCAAAGAGTTTCTACACACAATGACTAATAGGAATACTTCAGGATAAAGGGAAGTACAAGTGTAGCAGGATTTAAGGTACTATTCACTTTCTGGGAACACCTAAAAGTTTTAAAAATATGACACCATTAAATATTTCTGCTATCTATTTTCTTAGGTAAACACACTTTAAAAAGGCATAATTTTTTTCCACAGAGGACCAAGTACATTTGGTATCCGAGGTATATATATCAAGTTTTCCAAATTTTAGCTAAGCTCCAGTTTCCACTGTTTGTTTCCATACTTAGAGAAGGTGGAAAATGGTAGAACATAAAGTGCAAAGAGTAAAGGTAAGAAAGAATATAAGTAAATGTTGGAAAACTAAAGACTATTCAGCTCTGCTACTGTTTAGCTATTTGAACCGACAATCACTTGATTTGTTTCATTTGGTTCAGCTATTTAAAAAAAATGAATAATGGCACAGAAGGCGCTGAGAATGAATTACAAGGGATTCATCAGATTCCTTCTCCTCACCTCAGAACTACATTATCTTAGAAATCAGCTTAATTAATACCTTATTTACAATTTCTAGATAGGTATATAATAGGCTTACTTTTTCAGCTGATCCACATCGGAGTTATTTTCAGGCAAGACTCTGATTCCCCGACCATAACTTGTGCCTCCATGGAGATGAAATTCTAGGGCTAAAGACGTTGCTAGGTTCTCTGAACTGACTGACTGAAGTTTGGTATGGAGGCTATAAATTCTAAGGAAGCTTCCAACCTAAAAATAGATGGTTTATTATTTAGAAAATGGAGAAAACTAAAAAAAAATCTCTGATATAATATTTAACAACTAATATGGGGTACAGACCAATAACCAGGGGTGTAGACCCATCAGAAAGGGAACTGGTATACTACACTGATGTATACTCAATATCAGCCCCAAGGACACCATATTGAAATGAAAATGTGTGTATGTATACACACATATGCATATATAGATATGTATTTATGCATTTTTTCAAATCCAAAGGCACATTTTCATTTTGGGGATATTAAGACATGAAATATGACTGAGTCTTAGCTCTGGTAAAATACAGTAGCTTAGAAACCTATTACCTAAATCAAATCCAAGCCCCCTATTTGATTAGGGTTTTTGAAAATAACCTGCTTTAACTAATTTAAGGTATCACTGATGGCTGGCTCACTCAGTTGTGTTTGTCTCTTTGCTACCCCATGGGCAGCAGTCCACCATGCTCATCTGTCCATGTGATTCCCTAGGCAAGAATTATGGAGTCGGTTGCCATTTCCTTCTCCAGAGAATCTTCTTAACCTGGGATCAAATTCGTGTCTCCTGTATTGCCAGGTGGATTCTTTACCATTAAGCCCACTGGGAAGCCCAATTTAAGGTAATATTTAATTAAATATGACCAATAAAATACTCTCATTATGAGAATACTAGAATATTTTCAAATGCATTATTATATCAAAATAATAAACTTCCTCTATTTGGGCTTCCAAGTTTGGGCTTCCAAGGTGGCTCAATGGTTAAGAATTCACCTGCCAGTTCAAGAGATGCAAGAGACACAGGTTCAATCCCTGGGTTGGGAAGATCTCCTGGAGTAGGAAATGGGAACCCACTCCAGTATTTTTGCCTGGGAAATCCCATGGACAGAGGAGTCTGGTAGGCTACAGTTCATGGGGTCTCAAAGAACAATTTCTGTCAGGACACCATAATGTGGGACACATTCTGTGAGTTCAAACGTATAATTAAACAATATATTTTTAAACTAAATGTCCTGTTATTAATTTTAGATGTTTGGCCAAACTTAGTCTTAAAAATTTAACTCAGATGACCATTATATCTATTACTGTGGGCAAGAATGCCTTAGAAGAAATGGAGTAGCCATCAGAATCAACAAAAGAGTCTGAAATGCAGGACTTGGATGCAATCTCAAAAACGACAGAATGACCACTGTTTGTTTTCAAGCAAACCATTTGATATCACAGTAATCCAAGTCCATGCCCCAACTAGTAATGCTGAAGAAGCTGAAGCTGAACAGTTCTATTAAGACCTACAAGACCTTCTAGAACTAACACCCAAAAAAGATGTCCTTTTCATTATAGGGAACTGGAATGCAAAAGTAGGAAGTCAAGAGATATCCAGAATAACAGGGAAATTGGGCCTTGGAGTACAAAACGAAACAGGGCAAAGGCTAACAGAATTTTGCCAAGAGAATACACTGGTCTTAGCAAACACCCTCTTCCAACAATCCAAGAGAAGACTCTACACATGGACATCACCAGATGGTCAACACCGAAATCAGATACATTCTTTGCAGCCAAAGATGGAGAAGCTCTATACAGTCAGCAAAAACAAGACCGGGAGCTGACTGTGGCTTAGATCATGAAATTCTTATTGCCAAATTCAGACTTAAATTAAATAAAGTAGGGAAAACCACTAGACCATTCAGGTATGACATGAATCAAATCCCTTATGATTATACAGTGGTAGTGAGAAACAGATTCAAAGGATTAGATCTGATAGACAGAGTGCTTGAAGAACTATGGACGGAAGTTTGTGACACTGCACAAGAGGCAGTGATCAAGGCCATCCCCAATAAAAAGAAATGCAAAAAGGCAAAATGGTTGTCTGAGGAAGCCTTACAAATAGCTGAGAAAAGAAGAGAAACTAAAGGCAAAGGAGAACAGGAAAGATATACCCATCTGAATGCACAGTTCCAAAGAATAGCAAGAATGCCCTCCTCAGTGATCAGTGCAAAGAAATAGAGGAAAATAATAGAATGGGAAAGACTGGAGATCTCTTTAAGAAAATTAGAGATACCAAGGGAACATTTCATGCAAAGATGGGCTCAATAAAGGACAGAAATGGTATGGACCTAACAGAAGCAGAAGATATTAAGAAGAGGTGGCAAGAATACACAGAAGAACTGTACAAAAAAGATCTTCATGACCCAGATAATCACGATGGTGTGATCACTCACCTAGAGCCAGACATCCTGGAATGTGAAGTCAAGTGGGCCTTAGGAAGCATCACTATGAACAAAGCTAGTGGAGGTGATGGAATTCCAGTTGAGCTATTTCAAATCCTGAAAGATGATGCTGTGAAAGTGCTGCACTCAATATGCCAGCAAATTTGGAAAACTCAGCAGTGGCCACAGGACTGGAAAAGGTCAGTTTTCATTCCAATCCCAAAGAAAGGCAATGCCAAAGAATGCTCAAACTACCGCACAATTGCACTCATCTCACACGCTAGTAAAGTAATGCTCAAAATTCTCCAAGCCAGGCTTCAGCAATACGTGAACCATGAACTTCCAGATGTTCAAGCTGGTTTTAGAAAAGGCAGAGGAACCAGAGATCAAATTGCCAACATCCGCTGGATCATCGAAAAAGCAAGAGAGTTCCAGAAAAACATCTATTTCTGCTTTATTGACTATGCCAAAGCCTTTGACTGTGTGGATCACAATAAACTGTGGAAAATTCTGAAAGAGATGGGAATACCAGACCACCTGACCTGCCTCTTGAGAAACCTGTATGTAGGTCAGGAAGCAACAGTTAGAACTGGGCATGGAACAACAGACTGGTTCCAAATAGGTAAAGGAGTCTGTCAAGGCTGTATGTTGTCACCCTGCTTATTTAACTTATATGCAGAGTACATCATGCGAAATGCTGGACTGGATGAAGCACAAATGAAATGAAGATTGCCGGGAGAAATATCAATAACCTCAGATATGCAGATGACAGCACCCTTATGGCAGAAAGTGAAGAGGAACTTAAAAGCCTCTTGATGAAAGTGAAAGAAGACAGTGAAAAAGTTGGCTTAAAACTCAACATTCAGAAAACTAAGATCACGGCACCTGGTCCCATCACTTCATGGGCAAGTAGATCGGGAAACAATGGAAACAGTGACAGACTTTATTTTCTTGGGCTCCAAAATTACTGCAGATGGTGACTGCAGCCATGAAATTAAAAGACACTTGCTCCTTGCAAGAAAAGCTATGATCAATCTAGACAGCATATTAAAAAGCAGAGATATTACTTTGCCAACAAAGGTCCATCTAGTCAAAGCTATGGTTTTTCTAATAGTCATATATGAATGTGAGTTGGACTATAAAGAAAGCTGAGTGCCAAAGAACTGATGCTTTTGAACTGTGGTGTGGAGAAGTCTCTTGAGAGTCCCTTGGGCTGCTAGGAGATCAAACCAGTCCATCCTAAAGGAGATCAGTCCTGAATATTCATTGGAAGGACTGATGCTGTAGCTGAAGCTACAGTACTTTGGCCACCTGATGCGAAGAACTGACTCATTGGAAAAGACCCTGATGCTGGGAAAGATTGAAGGCAGGAGGAGAAAGGGACGACAGAGGATGAGATGGTGGGATGGCATCACCGATTCTATGGACAGGAGTTTGATCAAGCTCCGGGAGTTGCTTATGGACAAGGAAGCCTGGCATGCTGCAATCCACAGGATCACAAAGAGTCAGACATGACAGAGCGACTGAACTGAGTCCTAAAAATACCTTTAATATAGAGTATTTGATACTCTCTTAAGAAGACTTAAAAAGAGATACATATAGAACATTATTAAAGCAACTGACATCTACTAAAGGAAGAAGCTGTATAACCTAAATCACATTTATTGTAAATCAATTTCCCACCTCTGCTTATTACTGTCTCAGTACATTGTATTTCTCATCATCACTCTCTCGATTTGATAGAGGAGAGAAATGGTGGGGGAAAGAAAAAGTGGGGGAAATCCACACTCCTTGAGCTACTTCTTCATTCTCAAGGATACTTTTCCCAAATAATCATGTGTTTTATAAAGAGGTAAACATTTAGTCTTTTCTTCTCTGACTTCTAACACTGACAGAACAGCAGGGGAGCAGGGTAAATAAACTCAAAGGAAAAAAACACAAAAGGAAAAAGAAAAAAAAGGATGACAAATTGACTTTCCTCATGGTCTCCAAAGTAAAGTAAGAAGAAAATATAAAATACATTTCTATTTATGCACTTCTATCTCATTCTTTTTGAACATTTATTACTCTATAATTCTTTTTAACATACTCAATATATTAGAATAGTATTTGTATGTAATCTAAAAAGTTCTTAAGGGCAGACCCAGGTGAAAGATACCATATTCATAAGTGAAAAGCTTCAAAATATAATGATAATTTCCTAATTAATTATTCTTTAAAATCAATGCAATTTCTGTCAAAATCCCCAGTGCCTTTCCTGCAACTGTAAAAACTGATCTGAAAGTGAATAGTTACGTTAGTTTTGAAGACTGAACTAGGAGTGAGGGCTTAACCTATGAAGTATCATTTAAAAATAAAGGTATAAAAATTAAGACAGGCTGGTTTTAATGGAGACACACGTATGATCATGCATAAATCTTAGAAATATAATGTCAAAGGAGAAAAGCAATTTATAGAATGATAAATAACTATATGCATTTTCAGAAAAAAATCATAAAATAAAAGCATACTAAACATGGTTGTACACACCTACATGTTAGGATAAATAAAAAGAGGATATTGGGAAGCAAAAAATTAGGATAAGCAGAAGTACAAAGAAGGTTCCACATGTAGAGTTTCATTTCTTAAAGTTAAAAGTACCTAAAATAAGTGTGGGAAACATTTATAAATATTAAGTTTGGGTGACAGACACATGGATGTTCGTTTGTCTCTACTAATGCATTTCACAATTAAACAAAACCATATTTTAAAGATCAAGAGAGAATTTGTATATACATAGGCTATAAAAATGACAAGTTGCTATTTCCAGAAATTCCTTCTGGAGGCAGCATTGTATTTTTTTAAGCTTGCTAAATATACTATAAAATATGCCAGATGCTCTGTTAAAATAGACAAATACATAATAAATAGTCTTGTTGTTAATGTGGTAATATTCCAAAAATACAGGTGAGGGAATCATAACCCAAAAATTATAAAACACATTTCTAAACACTGTTATAAAAGTCCATTTTAATAAACAAAAAAAGCAAAACAAACTGGCTATTAAGAAATTATTATTCCTTTTCAAATAATTTAAATATTCCTTATAAACTTTTAAAACTTTCCCTTTAGGTTTAACATTTTTACTAAGCTGTATATGTCTGAAAATAATCAAACTATAGTTCTTGGGTCACCGAATGCCAAACATACTAACTAGGTATATTTTATAACTATTTTTAAATTGTGTCAGAGTAAGTCTGGGGACTGAAAATACCCTGCTTTCATTTATAGACAAAATGTTTGAAATGTCATTATGTGTGTGTATGTGTATTAAACGTATAGGGAATGTGATATCTTACTTAAAAAGTAAATTTTCAGAAAAATGTTAAAAACGTATCGCTAAAAAAACTTAAGTTGTAAAATGTATTGTACAGAGAATTAAATTATATCGTGCTTTATAACTGCCTTAACTGTTCTTTATTAAATATAATAAAAACCACATTTTTCCTGTTCCTACTCGACAAAAATACATGCATTCCATGCATTTCAATATACATATGCAATTTTAACCAGTTTTCTTCAAGCACTGATAAGAATTCATTGGCTATCAGTATCATTCGACTCTGGGGATTTCTTAAAGTAGTATGAAATGGTTGGTATGGAGGTTACCTGAGAACAAATAAAATATGCTATCAGTGTATATATTAAATAAAATGTCAGTTTTCTGACATAAAGTATGAACACACTCACAAGGGAGAAAAAAGTGCACTTATCACCTTCCTTGACCTGGACTTGAACCTAATTTATTGAGTTGGGTGGGCTTATTTGTAACATAATATGGAAGTGGAAATATTTCCTCTTCAAGAACATTTATTTGCAAAAAAGAAATTAGGCAGTAAAATTCATATCTAAAAAAATTGCAATTCACTTTCACTGTTTTCTTCCTATTAAGTTTGCTGTATAACTCCCTCAAGGTAGGATGGAAGCTTTATTTGCAATAAAGGAAATCATTTCTTTATACTGCTTAAGAGGATTAGCTCTAGAAGCAGACACTGTACATTCAAATACAGGCTTCACCCAAGTGGCTGTTAAATCGTGGGCTTAACCTCTCTGAGTGCCTCAGTTTTCTCATTTGTAACACAGAAATGATAGTACCTGCTGCCCGAAACAGTGCTAAATACATATGAAGTGCTTCATAAATGTTACCATTATGATTGCTATTATTAGTGATACTATTCTTGGCAAGAAAGGATACTTGCAAACATAAAATATAGTAAAATGAAGAAAAATATTCTTTAAAGTGTTATTAATAAACAAGAAGTGCCATAATTAAGCAGGATGCTTTTACCTAGAAAATTTTATCTCAAAAACTGAACAAATTCTAATAAACTGCATGATACACACAATTTACAATATATTTTAGAGGTAGATTAACAATTTCTTAGACCAACGAGTACAAAGTTAAAGACTGGATTTTATCAAACCAATTAAAAAAGCTTAGCATTTTTTAAGTTTACAAATATTTCATACATCCTCCATCAGTTTCAGCAAATTTTATTGCAGGATGAAATTTTTCTTTCTTATTCTCATAGCAAAATTGGGCACAGCTTTAAGATATTCAGAAATGCTCTTAAATTTTAAAAAGTTGTTGAAGCCATTGTAATTTAATGTATCATCTAATAATTTATTTTAAACATGCATTTTACAAATTAGAAATTAAAGAAAAAATAAATTTGGAGTTAATTTCTGGACCTCAAATATCACCTACCATGTGATTTACCCTCAAATAAAAATACAAAAGACAAACAAGTTTGTAATGTAACATCACCTTTAGAGATTTAGCCACTTGAACATGGTTATCATAGACTAAAATGTCTACTGTCAGATTCTGCAGCTGATGGATGCGACTTAAATCACCTTCAAGAGCAACGTCTTGTATTAAGACTCTCCAAGATGGGAATGGGGTCCTGGTGCCATCCCATACCTGTATAAGAGGCAGAACAAAACTTTTATGATCTTTTTATAAAACTGTGGAGGCTAAAAGAGGTTTATTTGCTGGTGATATAGCTTAAAAGTAATTAAATATATCCCCCAAATATCTGGTAAGCGTTAAATATGATCTATATTTTTTCCTGATTGTACAAGGACTACATATGTAGAGGAAATGACTAAAATATAAGTAAAAAAATTCAAACTGAGCTTAGAAAAATGATTAACACATTGCTTAATTTTACTCTTTTTTCTTTTGTGTATTTATAATATATATGTCTTTTCCTTTTTACCAAACTGGCATTCTACTCTGCTTTTATTTCTTACTTTACTGCTGGGTAGTTTTTCAAGCAACCTTATATTAGATGTAATGAACACAAATGAATAAAAATCATGGGTCCTTGAAAAGGGAAAGGTATGTTGGATTGCTATTTAAGTTACCTTGAGACCGAGATGGGAAAGGACTGCAGGACAAGGATGCACTATCCCATCCTTAAGACCTGAACTAGCTTGTGCTGTGCTAAGGTTGGTAGAGATGACTGATGCTTTATTATGCTAAAAAGGCATTGCGAAAGACATTTAATAGAGGTGGGAATGGCCCTGCATGTCAGAAGTCTGGCTGTACAAGAGAAAACAAGCTACTTAAGTAGAAAACTGAACTGAACTGAAGTAGAAAACACATTTCTTTCTTTAACTGTTATTGCTTTTTTTTAGTTGATGTAGAGCTCATTTACAATGTGTTAGTTTCAGGTGTACAACAAAGTGATTCAGTCACACATGTGTGCGATCAGTTACACATGTGTGAGCACGCACATACATACACGTTACCTTTTTCATATTCTTTTCCATTGTAGGTTATTACAAGATATTGAATATAGCTCTCTGTGCTATACACAGGTCCTTATTGCTTACTTTATATATAGTAGTGTGTAGCTATTGATTCCAAATGCCTAATTCATTCCTCCCCTTGTCCTTTCCCTTTTGGTAACCGTAAATTTGTTTTCCATGTTTATAAGCCTATTTCTGTTTTGTAAATAAGTTCATTTGTTTTATTATTTAAGATTCCAATCATAAGTGATATCATATGATGTTTGTCTTTCTCTTTACTTAGTACCATAATGTCTAGGTCCATCCATGTTGCTGCAAATGGCACTATTTCATTCTTTTTTTGGCTAAATAATATTCTAGTGTGTGTGTGTGTGTGTGTGTGTGTGTGCGTGCGCGCGTGCACGCACATAAAAATGTATATCTTCTTTATTCATTCATCTGTTCATAGATATTTATGCTGCTTCCATGTCTTGGGTATTGTAGATAGTGCTGCTATGAAAACCAGATGTATCTTTTCAAATTAGTTTTTGAAAAACTAGGAACAGGACTGCTAGATGATATGGTAACTCTATTTTTAAATTTTTTAAGGAATTTTCACACTGTTCTCCACAGTGGCTGCACCGATTTACATTCCCACCAACAGTGTAGGAAGCTTCCCTTTCTCCCTACGCTCTCCAGCCTTTGTTATTTGTAGACTTTTTAATAATGGCCAATATGACCAGTTTTGATAACTCACTGTAGTTCTGATTTGTGTTTCTCTAATAATTAGTGATATTGAGCATCTTTTCATGTGCATTTTGGCCATTTTCATGTCTTCTCTGGAGAAATGTTATTTTAGGTCTTCTGCCTACTTTCTGATGGGGTTGTTTGGAAAACACCACATTTCTGTACAAGTGTCTGCCAGGGTCAGCTTACAGAGGAAGTATTAAATAATGCTGGTGCCAGTGCTAGGTGTTAAAGTATCATGAGTTTGTGTCACTAGCTCTGTTACCTAAAAGAACTAGGACAATAACGCTGGAAGTAGTAACATTATGTCCCAGACACTTACCTTTACTTGGAATTTGTTCTTTCATTGTGTGTACATGTTTTTGAGACTTTAAATGGCTTTACAGACCAATTCATGAGTCTTTTGAAGGACTGACTGAGAGAGTAGAGTGTAAGTCAGACTTTGCTTTGAAATTCTGGAACTTTTGCAATCTTGTATGAAAACTCAGTGTGTTAGGAATTTGCATATTATATACAGATCTTTTTTCCAAATAGATAACAATCACCATTTAACAATCTTTCTTTGTCAATTGGAAATGCTAATGTTATTTTTATTATTATATTAATAGCAGCATGGAAACAAGAGAGGATGGCAAGGAGAGAAACTTTTTTAATAAGTATTGTTTTAAAAAAAATCTTTTAAATTTCTGGGCAATGCTAAAAATTACCTACTCCAAAATTAAATACCTTATTAAAATACTACCTTGTACTTTCTACAGTTGTGTTTGTTACTTTTTCAATTTCTTGACTTGAAAGATTATTCTAATATGCTATGCCTTTTTTTCTTTCTTTGTTCATGAAGACATTTAAGGCTCTAAATTTTGTCTTTGAGTATACCTCCAGACATAGTCTTTAACTTATTAACATTATAGTCTTAATGACCTATAATTAAAATTAATTTCTTTTAGAAACAGCACTATATAGGGGAATCATGTCTACTAGAATAGTTAAAATGAATGTATTATAGTTACTAAGGAGACTGATATTAGTATCATATCTCAGTTGAGAGGAGAAACAACTATGTTATATTCCATGGTGACTAGAACTCATCTGGAGTAAGATCTGGCTCCTTTTGTTTTCAAAATAAAATTTAAAAAATATATAGTTCTAGGCTGGGATAGGAAAATCAACTTCAGAAAAGAAAGTATTAAAATCTGACTTCCTGTATGTAAAATGAGTAAAATATTGCTATATATTCAACTCAATATATTTTTGCTAGGTATAGGAAACATTTTTTAGTATATAAATGAAGGTGCATTAATCACTAAAGAGAATATTGTGAATTTCTATCTCAGCAAGTTTATGTCTACAATGTCATTTTAGAGTACAGTATTCCATAACACATAAATAATTCACAAAATTCTCTATTGCTAGTACCAAGTTTTTTCTGATTTTTGTCACTGTAAGAAATATATGGAGAAATATTCCCTTAAAGGCATTTTCTCACATTTTAAATTATTAGTATAAAATAATTTATGAAAAGAGTTGTTGAGACGTATAGAGAGACTTCTGAGATTTCTTTCAAATTGTCCTCAAGGAAATCTTACTAAAATAATTTCTTATATTCAAAGCTGAATGCTATATTTTAAAATAATCTCTACATGAAAGTTGTTTTTACTTATCTGAAAAGGCTATTGATAAAAATGGGATGCATGCATGATTTCTTGCTTTAGAGAGAAAATGTAGATTCGGCTATGTCAGCTAAAAGGTGGCAGGTTTTACCTCAGAATTACGTACTAACAACACAGCAGTCTAAAAGTGGAGAATATTTCTGTGCACAGCAGATTCATTATCGTTAGAAATGTTTGATGATTAACAAATGCTCATTTGTTAAGTAAGTCACTTTGGGCATAAAGTATGACTGGTGGACTTAAAACACCTTCTCATTTTGTTTGGATGATTTTATGTTTCTTTAGCTTCAGTTTTGTCATATTTAACTCATTCACCCTTTTTTATAGCACACATTTACTTTCTCAGATTATCTCGTGTATATATAAATATTCGCTATTTTCAACTTCAGAAACTTCCTATTTTATTCAATCATTTCTATCCTCACTATTTTTTTTAATATGGGCAAGATACATCTGAAAATAATGCTACACCCCAATATCTGCCCAATGACACTGAACTCCACTTCCCATTACGTTCCATCATTGCAAAGAGTAGAAACCTAAGAAAGAACCACAGAAGCAGGGCTGAAGTACTGTTTGTTTAACAGCATCCTGCCTTGGCAGGGTTCATGAAGATAATATCAGACAACTGACCTCTCCAGAAGCTATTCATAAATAAACTGGTATAGGTATAAACAAAGATTAGATGGGTCTTAGGCCACCTTTTTAATCCTGTGGATTTAAAAACAAAACAAAATACAAGAAAAATAAACACTTCAAAACCATCCATGATCTACCCATGAAGCAGATAGTGAAATAACCCAGAAGAGAACCCAATGACAACAAACCAAGAAAGCAAATAAATGAGAAGAAAGGCTACATCCACATAAAGCAACAAAACTACACATTTTTTGAAATATAGTTTAAAAATAGCAAGAGGAAACAACTCTTTTTACCAGTACTAAAATAAGAAATACATAAACAGCATAAAGTATACTATATTTAAAATATAGAACTGATGACACTATTTTTCTCTAGAAGTTTAGGATGAAGGGAAATTCAAGAATAAGGATGCATGGAAATACAGGACCATTAAAAAGGTTAGATTTTAAGTTCTTAATACATAGCTGCTTATTTATTCCATCAGAATGCTGAAATAAAAGGTCTTTTTGGCTTTGAGGCCATGCTAACTTACAGTTTTAAGTACTTAAAAATACCTACCTTTAGAAGAAATGATGCTCCATCCACTTCGGCTTTGCCCAAGAGCTGGCAAGTCAGGTCAAAATACTGCATTGGCTGGACATCACACAATTTGACTGATATTGAAGAAGGTGAAATATGAGTCGATGCCCAAATACGTAAAGCTTCGACCATTTTCTGGTCCTCAGCAGTGAAGTTAAAACATTTGCTTGCAGTACGAGGAATGATAGGAGCCCCCAAAGTTCCCTCAAATGTCAAAGCTGCAAAGCCAGAGCTGGTGATACCTTGAGTCTCCTTTTTATATACTTGGATCTAAGGAAGTGGCAACGTAGGAAACAGAAAAAACAGGTTACTGATGTAGAACCTAGGAACTGGAAACAGGAGACTATAAAATTTTGCCAGTACAGATATTAGAGGACATAATCTTTAAATAATTAGAATATGAAATGATAAAAATCTACTCAGCTATGTCAAAATCCTTTAGTACCATGTAATCCTTTTACCATGTAAACTGTAAAACATTATGCAAAATTTATTTTTATTTTTTAAAGAGCTATGTGGTAGCTCCCCTAATACTATCAGTACACTTTTACAGACAAGACAATTGTTAGCTTATTTTAAGATATAATTTATAAAAAGAAAAAGGATAATAAGAGATAGTTACTTATGAATATTGTAGGGGAAACTAGAACACTCAAAATAAAAGAGTATGAAGTGGATAAAATGGAGCTGAGGCTAAGGTTTCATCAGTCTGACTGAGAGAACTCAGATAAACCTTAAAAACACTGGCTTTCTGAATTTTGAGGCTCAGTTATTATGTGCACATGCATTTATGACTGTTACATTGCCATAAAACAATCCTTTTGAACTTATGAAATGCCTTTTAAGTCTCCTGCAATACTGTCTGATATTAATAAATATATTTATATATTTATGGAAAATTGGAAAATGTATTCAACTGATGGATGCTTAAACTGTGATGTGTTAAAATTTGTTTGATATAACTAAAGCAGTACATAGAGAAAAATTTATAGAAATAAGTGAATATTTTACAAAGGAATAGCGGTTAAAAATCAGAAATTTAGGCTTCTATCTCAAGACGCTGCACGAAGAATATTACCTCAAATCCAAGGAAAGTAGAAGGGAAACACAATCAAAGGTAAGAGAAATAGAAACATATAGTAGAGAAAATCAAAGCTAAAAACTAGCTCTCTGAAGAGATTAATAAAAATAATAACCCTAGAAAAAGGTTGATTTGGAAAAAAAGAAAAGAAATACAAATCATAATATTAAGACTGCAAAAAAGGATTTGTCATTAAAAATCCACCAAACATCTAAAAGATGAATAACATATGACCAAATTTATATCAATAAAGTCAGCAATTTGAATGAAATAATTTTTGATAATGATATAATTTTTTCTAAAAATTAAATACATCAAAGCTGATAGAATAAAAAAAACCTCATTCATCTTAAAGAAACCTTAATTCTTAATATAATCTATCAATAAAGAAATCATCAAACTCAGATAGCTTTACCAAGCATTTAAGTAAGGAAAAAACCCTGTAATCTTGCATAAACTCTTCCAGAATTGAAAAAGAAGGGCACATTTCCTGTTTTCATGAGGCAGAAAAACTTTAACTTCAAAATCTGTCAGAGACATTGTAGGAAAAGGAAATTACAGGTCTAAATATGAAACAAGAAAATTGTAATGACTTCGAGGAAAACTTAGAAGCTATCTTCATAAAATAAGCAGACAAAGAGTTCTTAAATAAGAAATTAAAAAAGTACTGATCATAAAACAAAAGTTAATAAAGCAGAATATATTAAAATAAAGAGCTTTTGTTCATCCAAAGACACCATTAAGAGGGTAAGTAGGCACTAACATAGAGTGAAAAAGATATTCACAATCCATATACCTGAAAAAAGATCTGTAGCCTAAATATAAAAAGAACTCTCACAAATCATTAAGAAATGGGAGTTTAAAATCCTATAAAAAATGAGCCAAAGACTCCAATGGACACTTCATACTTCAGAAGACACACAAACTTTAAAAGGTTCTCAGTTTCTTAATTTTTCAAGGAAATTCAAGTTAAAATCACAATAAGATACTAATACAAATGCAACAGAATGGTTGAAATTCAAAACAATGGAAAATATCAAGTGCTGGTGAAAATGTGGAACAACTAGAATTTTTCTGTATCACTGAGAGTATAAGTGGTAAAAATCACTCTGCAAAATTAAATACATAGTTTAGCTATAAACTAAAGCAAATATATGCACAGCCTTGAACTTAGGAACTACAATCCTTGGTATACAATCAACTGAAATGCATATTATATAATAAACATTATAATTACATAATTATATGTAAATGTGTATATTATATAATTATACATATTCAGTAAAATATATGTACTAGACTGTCTATAGCAGCAATAATAGCCCAAACTGAAAACTATTTAAACAACTAACAATAAAGATACAAATTCTAGTGTATTCAAACAATGGTATACCATTTAGCAGTGAAAATGAAGAAAGTAAAAACTATATGCAATAGTACAGTTGAATCAAAAAAGCATAAACCAAACATTCAAAAAAAAAAGACTAACAGTGTATTCTTTTTATATAAAGAACAAATGTAGAGAAACTAATAAATGTTGTGAGAAGTTATGAGATTATTTACTGCTAGGGGTGGGAAGGGTGTGAATGGTAACTCTAGGTGAGGGTATGGTGGAAGTTTCTAGAGTGTTAGATATATGAGCACGCTAGTGCTGTGGAAAGAGAGATGTGCATTCCACTTCAATTAAACAACAGACAAGAATTGTAAATATAGTTGTCCATGAACACTGAGGTTAAGGGCACCAACCATCCATGTAACTGAAAATCCTCTTATAACTTACAGTCAGCCCTCTCTCCTCATTTCAGGATCCATGGATTCAACTAACCATGGGATACTGTTTACTACTGAAAAGAATCTGTGCATAACTGGATCTGTGAAGTTTAAAACTGTGTTGTTCAAAGGTCAACTGTACTATAGGAAACAGTAATGTGTGCCAATCAGCTATTTTTTTTTGAAATGTTGATAAGCATGTAATATAGTGCTATAATAATAATCTTTCCAGTTCTCTTTAACCAATGTTCTCCAATATTCTTCTGTTCTCAGAGGAAAGGCATTAATAGAGCAACAGAGGTATTTCCCACCATGTCTAAGACCACTGATAGAATATACCCTGAGTACCTCACTCATTTGTGAGCATCAGTGATCACAAGAACCACAGATAAACTGAAGCATTAGAAGAAAAGACAACAAAGATAGTGAAGGAGTTGCACTGAAACTCATGTAACATAAAGACTAACAGTGTATTCTTTTTATATAAAGAACAAATGTAGAGAAACTAATAAATGTTGTGAGAAGTTATGAGATTATTTACTGCTAGGGGTGGGAAGGGTGTGAATGGTAACTCTAGGTGAGGGTATGGTGGAAGTTTCTAGAGTGTTAGATATATGAGCACGCTAGTGCTGTGGAAAGAGAGATGTGCATTCCACTTCAATTAAACAACAGACAAGAATTGTAAATATAGTTGTCCATGAACACTGAGGTTAAGGGCACCAACCATCCATGTAACTGAAAATCCTCTTATAACTTACAGTCAGCCCTCTCTCCTCATTTCAGGATCCATGGATTCAACTAACCATGGGATACTGTTTACTACTGAAAAGAATCTGTGCATAACTGGATCTGTGAAGTTTAAAACTGTGTTGTTCAAAGGTCAACTGTACTATAGGAAACAGTAATGTGTGCCAATCAGCTATTTTTTTTTGAAATGTTGATAAGCATGTAATATAGTGCTATAATAATAATCTTTCCAGTTCTCTTTAACCAATGTTCTCCAATATTCTTCTGTTCTCAGAGGAAAGGCATTAATAGAGCAACAGAGTTATTTCCCACCATGTCTAAGACCACTGATAGAATATACCCTGAGTACCTCACTCATTTGTGAGCATCAGTGATCACAAGAACCACAGATAAACCGAAGCATTAGAAGAAAAGACAACAAAGATAGTGAAGGAGTTGCATTGAAACTCATGTAACAAGAGCAAAATAGCAAGGAACTAAAATGTTTAAAACTTAAGAGGCTGAAAATATTAAAGTACTGAAAAGCTGATTATTAAAAAAATCACATACTATCTAATAGTTTTGCTTTTTTACTAAAATTCTTTCACAGAATGCAGCTAGTCTGAATGACAGCAGCTAACACTTCTGTGGACGGAGGGCAGGTAGTTTGTTCAAATGAAGAGGTTTCCTAATATAAATCACTTGAAGTCTGATCTCATTTACATTTCTTATCTCTTGAAATGCCTGAAGTCATGTTCTAACAAAGCAACCACATAATTAGTGTTAACTAGTTTCAGTGAGCAATATTGAGTGCTCTTCAAACAAATATAAGTTCTAAACAGTATGAGTTATACCTTTAGCCTGTGAAAGCGAACGATATCTCCATTTTTATAAATCATTGGAAGGGCTTCATAATTTCCACTAAAGAACAGGCAGGTTAGTTTTACATTTGTCTGGTCCACAATTGTTACAACTGAACAATAATCTGGAAAACACAAAAACATTTCACCTGACTTTTAGTATTTCAAAGCATCTAATAAAATAATAATACTGAGTTCAAAGCATCAAACTTTATTCCTTCCTTTAGTCTTCTAAGAATAGGATCAAAACATAAAGAAATTTTCTTCTCTCTTAAACACACTGCCAAATTATTTTGCAAAAATATTTCACAAAAAATTCATTTTAGAAAGTGTAATAAAACAAAAATAAAAACCCTACTTAATGTAAATTGTCTGTCATTTTTATTACCTCAAATTTATAAATTGTAAAACAGATAAAATATTCAAATAACATAATTTATAAACACAATTAAATTTAGAGCAAAAACAAACAAAAAATACCATAAGATATTTCCAGCAAATATGATTAAGAGTGAACATACTGCAAAAAGAAACCCCAGGGTTTTACGGTGAATATGAAATTCAAATGAACAATTCAGAGAAAATATAGAATACTAAATTAAAAGGAAAAGTGATGATCTGCTATTGATACTTACAAAAGATTACACATCAGAATAAGAGGGGTATTTTATACAATTTAAACTGGCAAAAGAAAAAAAAACTAACCAAATACAATGATAGTTGGGCTGCATGAAAAACAAGTAACTTCAAACTGGTGGTAGCAAAAACTATAACAGGTGTTATCATTTAAAGTACATGTTTCAGAAAAATGAACACTGAAAATATGTGTTGATTTCCCTCCTTCTCAATACTATACTCATGACAGTGCAGACAGAGGAAAAGATAAACCCGAAACAATGAATGGAGAGGAGAGGTGAGGAGAGGAGAGTGAAGGAGATGGAAAAAAGATATCAACATTATTTCAGGAAGTTGGGAAAGTAGATGGTTAAGGGATCAGATGGACAGAGGAGAATGCAAACAGAAAATACTCCTAAGCAGCTACAGCAAAGACGGGAGCCTTTGGGATTAAGGGAGACAGAGAAAAACAGCTGAAATTAGGGCTAATGAAAAGTTTACACATGGAACAACTGCTTCAATGATCACCCATCTTTACCTTCCTTTGAAGATGATTTCAGGTAGGCATGTAGGATATCTCAGTCTCTAACTGCACCTCTTCGTGGAACACAGACTGCTTTCCAAGTAAGTTTCACTGATAGACCAAGAAGTGGTAAGCCTTCTGATGAGGATGTTAGTACCCAGAATAAACCCTCTGCATTATCACAGTAGGAGGTCTATAACCAGGTAGAAAGCTGTCTTCCCACCCACCTTAGACTGATACTTTCAATGTGTCCTGTGTGAGTACTGTTTGTCTCCTATTATAAGATTTGTCTCTTATTAGAAGTTTGAACATTGTAAGATTTCCCATTTAAAAAAGAGATCACATTGAAAAAACAAACTCTTCACATACAAAGCAGAGGAAACAAATGTCTACAATCTAAAATAAATGATACCTACGTTTGTAAATGTAAAAACAAGACACAGAACAAAAATAGAAGAAAAGGAGGAAGAACACCAAGAGGGGGAAGGGAGAAGGAGATGGACGAGAACAGAGGAGTATGGAGAAAGGGGAAGGAATGGGAAAATGGGGAGACAGGACTGGAGGGAAAAAGGAAAAACAGAAACCTGATTCTGTGAGGAGGGGACAATCATTAACTGAGAGAACATAAAAAACTTTATTTTTTTTCATTTGTTTTTATTAGTTGGAGGCTAATTACTTTACAATATTGTAGTGATTTTTGCTGTACATTGACATGAATCAGCCATGGATTTACATGTGTTTTAAAAAACTTGAAAAACAAAACCTTAACAAGCATCTTCAAAAACAGTGAAAATATTACATCCTCATCTCTTCATGTGGAGGGTCTATCGGACCCAGTTTTTAGTTTTGGGGTTTCCTTTGTCAGTAGTTCTAACTATTTGTAAGGAGTGTTATTTTGTGACATTTTTTCTCTTAGCAGTCTTCCAAAGATTAAAGGTAAATTCACTTATATTTTAATAGAATAAAACACATTCTTTTTTAACAGAATAAAACACACTCTTGCTTGTGATGACCATATGGCTGCTTTTTACCCTTTTATAAATCTAAGATCCATTATGGAATTTTTAATCATGTATTTTCTTTTATCTTGAAATATTTTGCAATTTCATTCTCCTATTAATTATTTCATCATTATTCCTACCTATGCTTAAAAAAGACTAAATTAATATTAAAATGGGAAAATGAGAGACTTGCTTAGGAGAAAGATGCAAGAGTGTAATGAGTCATCCCTGGTGCCCTGCACTGCTCAATGTGCTGTAACACCTTTCAAGATGACATAAAAAACCAAGTTTGAAAATGATCTTTGGAATGTCTTCTTTGGCTTTAAGAATTCAGTTAAGAATTTAGAACTGAAATTTTCTGCCAATGGCCATAGAGAAGGAAATTGACAGAAGTCCTTTAACCATTATTAGATGAAGCAGAAGCTGAATGCAAAGACAGGCAACAGCACTGCATAATGAGTAATGTACTTTGAATAAAACACAAATGATCTGAAGGTTTTAAGCTTCATGTAATTTCATGGTAGGCAAAACATAAGGGCAAAGAGATCACTAGTCTAATGAAATCTAATTCAGGTACACAAAGATCAAACTTGGTATCTTTACATTTTTGTTTCCTGACAGCTTCTCCAAAATCACGTAAAACAGATTTATTTGTACTAGAATACACAAACTCACATTTCATATTTATATCAGAGAACTAGTTACTCTTGTACTTATAGTGTTATTTTAAGTTGCAGTGATTCTAAATTACTCCTCTCATTTTAAATGCTTCACAATGAGCCACTTTTGTCAATTGGGAATACAACACATCAACAAAATTGCAAATTTAGCAGGCATAAATAACAGTAGTTGAATCTAAATGTTAGCCAGGATGAAGTAACAGAGCCCAGTCTCTCTAGAATATACATGATACTGAAGAGTGGAATAACTGAAAAACAAAACAAAACTGGGGTGTGGTTAAAAAAAGATCAGGCTTAACCTAAATTTCAGAATATTGAAAACTGCCTCACGGTTTTGTTTTTCCTGGAAAATGCAGCCTTCCCGTAGATAACTTGACAGGTTGCAAAGGACTCCATATGACACTCTGAGAAACAGTGTGGAGACCCATTGTCCAGAGGGTCTGAAATAGGGTCACCATTAGCTTTTGTAGTATCTTTGTGCAAATTAGAAAAAGACTCCTCTTTCTCAAGCAGAAATACTCTACACCCTAACCAGCTTTCAGAGGAACTTTACTGAGCCCAAGAGAGTAGCAGTCTTGGCACACATTTACATTCTGGCCTTTCTATCCAATGCTTTGGCCACTGTATGTAAAGAGCTGACTCACTGGAAAAGACTGTGATGCTGGGAAACATTGAGGGCAGGAGGAGAAGGGGTCAACAAAGGATGAGATGGTTGAATGGTTCAATGGACATGAGTATAAGCAAGAGACAGTGAGATATCCAGGAGATCGTGAAGGACAGGGAAACCTGGTATGCTGCAGTCCATGGGGTCACAAACAGTTGGACACGACTTAGTGATTAAACAACTTTCTATCCAAACCTTCAGAAACAGGGATGCTTGTACATGTGACACCTGCGATGCATACATTCCTTCTCTAGGTCCTTCCTCCTCCCCACTCCCCTTGAAGTGTCTGTGTCAGGTTAGCAGTTAGGTAGGAATGGACTGCTAAGAAAGAAAGAAGTGACCTCGGGATTGCCCAAAGAACAACACAACAGTTTTGTGTGCCAGGGTGTACAGATGCATGCTCAGAATTCTAAGTGGGTAAAAGGAATGGCTCCACATGCTGCTATAGGTTTATGTAGCAGAGGACATTCCCAAGTGGCAGCAGAACTTGGCCTGAAATCTACACAGCTGTGTTTTCAGCTAAGTGACTCCATGTGGATGAGAAAGGCACCTCCTTAGACAGTGCACACCAGGGCACCGCACACATTAGCCATCACATGCCGAGTCTCTGTTCTTTGCTTCCTTTCTCTTTCAACGGGAAGTACTACCAATGGCTTTTCACAAGTGTAAGCCACAAAGATCTACCTAGTGCTCAAATCCTTTTATAAAAGTAAGATTTTATTAACAGAGAAAAAAAGAGAACCTTTCCATAGAGCACAGGCTTCCTTGAAAGCAAAAAAGATAGAAACAAACTTAATACTATATACATATGTACAGTGATAAAATACTGACATCTGTAAGCATATAAGACTTAGTTCAGTAAGGATCTAAATATTATGCAACACCTATGGTAGAATCACCATAGATACTAACTATAGGTGAATGACAAAGCTCTCTAGAATATAAACCTCCCTCGGAATTCCCTCCACCACCACAGAATGCTGAATATTTCAGTGGTGGTTAGTAGTCTGTATTTCAGCAGCAAGGAACCCTGCTTCGGTTTCTGCTATTTTCCAATCCATTTTTTAAAAAAAATTTAGTACATAAGCTAATCTAAATTTTATTGAGTGTCTACCTAATGTTGCTGCTAAGTCACGTCAGTCGTGTCCGACTCTGTGAAACCCCATAGATGGTAGCCCACCAGGTTCCCCCGTCCCTGGGATTCTCCAGGCACGAACACTGGAGTGGGTCGCCATTTCCTTCTCCAATGCATGAAAGTGAAAACTGAAAGTGAAGTCTCTCAGTCGTGTCCGACTCTTGGCGACCCCATGGACTGCAGCCTACCAGGCTCCTCCATCCATGGGATTTCCCAGGCAAGAGTATTGGAGTGGGGTGCCAGTGCCTTCTCCCTACCTAATGCTAGGTATATATATATATACACACTAGTCGGGAAGACGACTAAATGAACAGGGCATGGCACCTTCTCTTATGAAGTTTACATTTTCCTTACATTGACTTACATCTTTAAACACTAATGCTGTGATCTCAGTTTGTGTGTTATTTTATATGCGAACATCTGCTAGTGTATAGAGTTTATACTCTGTATACGTAATGATTCATCACAATAACTACAGAACTAATGATCCAGATGACATTTTCTAGC